CTGGACGAAGAGAATGTGTCCCTGTGATGCAAATCATCTACTCTTGCCTTCAGCCGGTGGATACTATCAAGCATTGCCATGATTGGGTATGCCAGGACAATCTTTGTTGGCAGTTAGGGTTGAAATTGCTTCCAAAGTAAGCCGCCATGGAAGTCTTGGGCACCATGAGAGGCGCCCCATAAATCCATTGTAAACGAAGCGCACAGAAATGGTACATTGGGTGCATCCAAGACCTTCATCAACGGCCAACCTTTGCTCAGGTTCGAGGGGTGGATCCAAGGTTTTCAAATCTTACCTGGAAAATGAATACCCGCTTGAACCATCAATATATTGGCATGCTGCATGGGACCAGAGGAACCATTGGTCTACGAGGGCGTGAGTTCGAGAGTTGATCAGACTGTGTGCTTACAAAAGAAGATGTTTGACCGGTGTCCACGTTACACGAGGAGCAGGCTGGGGCCGGTGCTCGTGGCTTGGTAATCTAAGCGTTGGGCTAATTGCAGGGCTGGGTCGGCGGCAGGCCCAGGGCGCAATGACTCACGTGAATGCGCCAGCTTCCATGAGCACTTGACTCTCAGAGCCATAAACCCGCGCAGCTTCGCTGAATGACGTCGGCCTACAAAATACCCGATCGCCCCCCTCGCGACATTGCGCATCTAAGCGACAAGTTCCGTTCTATTAGGGCGACGACAAAATGACGCAGCTCCTGTCCCAAGACCTTGCGAACAACGGTGGTTTAATCCCTCTAGAACAGTTGCAACGCGCCCCTGCTTTCGAACTGCGTGGCGGAAAAGTTCTTTATCACGTTGGCCGCGCATTGGGATCGGAACCTGACTCAGCGTGCGGCTTGTTCTGCTGCTCTACCTACATGGAGAATGACGAAGTGATCAAGCAAGACTTAGTCCGAGTCGGAGGAGTGTTGACCACCGCCATTCTCGGGAAGAAGAACCCCCATCTTTGTGGCATGTTCATGACAACGGCAAGCGGAGTTTTGCAACATGCTTTTGAGCCAACGCATTGGTTAGAGTCGTTCGGTGATAACGATCAAGTCGATCAAGATGTTTGCACTTACGCCGACGAGAATGCCGACTCCGAAGAGAATACCGACTCCGACTCCGACTCCGAAACCGACATCTCGGTTTCGCCCTGCCCAATAGTTGGCGTAACTGCGCTCGCTATCGATTGGCAACCCGCCGAAGTCGTTGCTACCAACTTCCTCCACGCCTGGACCAGACAGGAAACTTCGGCCCCCGCCATGTGTGAATACACTCTCATGAAACCGCGATCATGGCCCCAACTTGAGAACAAGTTTACCTTTTCCGGGACGTCGGGTCAGTCACAGACCATCGACTCATATTGTACGGACGACGAGCTCACGGCAGGGCCGTTGTCGATCGTGATGGATGGGTCAACCCTTCTCAGAGCGCGTTTGGTTTCTGGAGAG